CGGTCCCTCAGGTCTGAGCCCTGCTCATTTCCCAGCCTTCCTTTACCTGTAAGCCAGGTGTGAAGCCTCTGTAGCCAATCAGAATTAATTAATTATTAAACTAACTACCTGCGAGAATTGAAAACAAGGCCTGGATTTGGAATCGCAATCCAGATTTGAAGAGCCCTGGGCTATATTAACTGATCGGGAAGCACTGTAATCTCACATCACTCCCTCCCAGTGTTACTTGAGCTTCCTCCAGGTTCTCACAGAGTCCAAAGACATTCCTCCAGCCTTCTTTAAAGTACCTGTGGCATGGGTATTAGCTTTGGGTCCTGTGTGTTCCTTGTATTGTGCCCTTTGTCATTTGGGACAGGATCCAGGCTCCCTGTATCTCTGTAATGGGTGGGCAGTTGAAGAGCAGATGGTTAAATGGCTGAAACGTAGTAATCTTGCAGTAAACACATGGCAATCTTACAATAACTCAAGCATCGTAATACACGACCTGCAAACAGACATGGAGTCATACTCTATCGATGCATACACATGCCTGCAGAAATATCAGATTTTTATGTCTCCTGAAAACACGTCACTGAAGACCCAGCACTGGAAGCAGACAGCCCTGCATTGTGCTCCTCTCAGAGCGCCCTTGTGGGGCTCCGGAGGCGCGGCTAGCTGTTAAAATCAGTCAGGCCAAGGAGGATTATTGTCCATTGTGTTCATATCAGATGTTGGTGCAAACTCTCCGGGGTAAAATGCCTGATGGCTTCACAGTGCCTTGGGTGCTGCCTGCATCTCCACGGGCTGATGCTGCTGTCCACGCTGGACCAGAAGCAGGCAAAGGTTCCAGACCCAGTGAACAAGGTGCAACCAGCAGAGCCAAATGCTTATTTTGCCAATTACAGGAACACACTTAAAAAGTTCTGTTCCATCTGAAGAACACCATTCTTTACCGCTATTGTTAATAAAATCAGACTGCAAGACCAGGATCTTAAAACACAATCTAACCACAGGAAATCCATGCATTCAGTGGTGAATATATATGGGCATGTCTTTTCTGCACATACAGAATGCTGCATTATTTCGCATTGTTATATACTGATTTTTTTACTTGCATTGGCATTCTGCTGTCCTCATTTACAGAGACACGTTGGGTAAGCGGACTATATGTTTCGAAATGGAAAAATGAAACAGTGAGTCGAGACGCCCGCTGTCCTGCCTGTCGCATTGCTGTCATTCTCAGGTCGTCTGGTGAGGTCTTCATATGTGCGTGTGTGCGCTGATTTTACCCCTTCTGTGCCGAGGAGATTCTGCAGCCAAGTCCAGAGTGGTTTGAGGGGTGGTTGGGGGCATCCATTTTCTGCCTTGTGTCCATCGCTGACAGCACGGAAACCACATGAAGTGGGAGCGGCGGCCGGCAGCTGTCGCGTGCAGCTGGCAGCGCGGGGAGAGCCGATGAGATGGAGGGCGGGGCGTGGAGCCCCCACATGTGGTGCTACCTGTCCATCTCGGCTAAAGGATTTCACGCACAGGACAGCTGCCAGCACTCGCTGACTTTTTCGCCTTTTTCGGAGCCTTAGTGAAAGCCGTCGAAGGGGGCCTTCCACGCAATGGCGGTTGACATGTGGCTGGGGGGCGTACAGGGGGTGCTGAGTCAGAGTAGAGCAGTAATCAGCGGTTATCAGCTCATGAACGCAGGAGATCAGCCACTTCTTTGCTGAAAAGCGAAGATTGTTGGCAAGGGATGCTGACTTGGCCTTTTCATAGCAGTTATGTTTGCTGCATTGTTTGCAGGGCTGCGGTTTAATGCATATAGCTTGGGGCACTGCCTGTCTCAACGGGTTAGGATGCTGTTCCTGTGATCGGAAGGTCCCAGGATGGGAGCTGGGAGAGGAGAGTGATGTCACTGTTGGGCCTTTGACCAAGACCATTAAGTGCATCACTTTGGATAAAAACGTCTGCTTACGAAATGTCTTATCCTTGCTAGTGAGTCTTAATAGCAAGGTATTGCCAGGACATCGTGTTTAAAGGGTTAGTTACGGAGCACTTCCTGGGTGTGGATATTAGTTATTGCACATACTATAAATGGCCCATGCTACCTTTATTATGGACAAGTGTAGGGAAAGAGTCTCTCCCTCTCGGATGTGTTCAAACACAGCAGTGAAGGTGAAGCAGGCCGAGGAGTGTTGGGCACACAGTCAGACAACTGAAGGTTCACACAGTCCTACTGAGCAATGTTTTGTGTAGATTGTTCCAGATAAAAGTCTGCTGTGTAAATAGATCAGGATTGGTCACAGGCGTTTTCCCAGAGACGTCCGGCAAACGTAAGGCGTAAAAGAAACTCCCAAATGATATCTTGTGTGTTGATCTCGCTTGCCTGCCAGTGGGGCGAGGCGTTGGAGAGCACGCCGTGCGGCCAGACTCCTGTGGAAAACAAGAGACGTGACTTCAGAGCAGGCAGGCGGCGGCTGCGTTGGAGAGAGCCTCTGCCGCCCCCCCCCCCAGCACCAGAGGGAAGGTTCTGTGTACTCAGCTGGGCCCAGCGACGTGTGGCCCTGTGCTCACCTCACTGGGCTGGGGCTCAAAGAAGCGCTTCCCGGACGGAGCTCAGCAGAATCCCACGGTTTTGCAGGGAACCGCCCTCTCCGGCTGAAACCCCAGAACCGCGGCAGACCTGCGGGAAGATGGCGTCCATGGCAGCCCGACTTCAGAAGTTGTTATTCGACAAGGAGGCGAAGAAAAACAGTGGCGATTATGATACTTCTGCTTAGGCTCGTTCAAAGGTGACTGGGCAGTAGTTCTTAGGTCTTGTTTCAGTATGTAAACTTTCACTTTGGCTTTTACATCTAACTGTAATGAAACTAAAAACTGATTAAGAAACTGAGGTTGTGTCCATTACCCTTTGAAGGTTTAAACACGCTCTTCTCCTTCTGGCGTTTTCTCCTGCTCGCCGCTGTCGTACCTCAGGTCAAAAATGGCTAATTCAGTCCCCATAATCGCATTGCCTGATAGTCTTAGATCCTAATGAAATCAATATGTACAAAAGCAACAATCCTAAAAAAAAACTTGTGTGACCCTTAGATCTGTTCAGCAAGAGCCTTAATTGTGAGAAAGAAAATGTGATCAAAGACTTTGGCGCAGGTCTTAAGTTATCATTTTCTCTCTCTTCAAAGGCAAACAATTGAGGATGATGGCACTTAAAAATCAGACAGTCACCCATCAACGCCAGTTGCAGCAGAACTTTCATTTCAGAGTCTCCTCTCTTACAGGTCTGGCCGTGTTCTGTTTCAGGTTTTGATTGTGTCTATTTGTCTGTGTATGGCTTAAGGATGCTTTAAGGAAGCCTTCTTATAGTGACAGACTTCTTCCCTTTGATCTTCCTCCCGTGCCTCGGAAACGACGTACCTTTTCGGTCTCCTCTGTTCTTCTCGTCACTCTACTGTTTCCCTTCTGTCTGTCATCCAGCAGGCAGATGTTAAACAAAGCAGCCTTTTTTGGTGTCGTTTTTATTCCGCATTGTATCTGTCACCTTAACGCTTTAGGAACAAATTACTTTGTGTAGAACTTTCTTGGCAGGCACCTTATTTAGACGCTATGGGGAAACATGTTGGTGATGTTGGAGGCTGATGTGTCAGAGCCAGAGCCAGTATGTCGCACTGGCATCTTCACAGCATACAGTTAAAGCCCAATCCCTAACATACAGAAATAAAACACTTATACGAGGTTTGGTTTCAACATTGGTAGGGACCAAATCAGCCCGGAGGCCCCCCAGTCCCCTAAACACACAGGGTACTCCCAAAATATTAGTAGGGACATGTTCCTAATGTCCGTACCCAAGTCTATGTACTTGGATCTTACTCATCAAATGTGGATGCAAGCTTGAGGATTTGGGCAACTCCATTGCTGAGCAAAAGTTAAATAAAATGTAAATAAATCATTCAATCATCAGTGCAATGGGTTCCTTCAGACAGACATATAAACAGCGGATGGCGTCAGATAGCATCACCAGTAGGTTATTCTATAAGGAGCAAGTAGCAACATATCTTCCCCTCCCTCACAGGAGCACTGTAGCCCTCTGAAGATGACATCATCAAAATGCATCACCGGTAAGTTATGTATGCAGTATGTAACCTGTACACTACAATGCTCACGTGCGCTGAGCTGAACACTGTGCTTGGCCTGTGTCAGATTGGGGGGAGCCTTGAAAATGCATTGGAACCCCAGACCTGTATTCCCAGGGTATTTTGGGTAACTCTGAAGGTAAATCCCACGGCAAGTCAGAGCAGGGCATTGAGCAGAGCTGCACAATCAGGCCGTGTCCGTGGCCATACAGTAAGGCACAGAGCTGTGTCATAGCGAGCTATTATGCTCATTCTAGAACCCAACAAGGATGGGGAAATTTGGAAAGGCAAACCTGCTCCCCCCAGACAGTACTGAGGGAAAGTTTACAACCCAGCATCTGAGTCTATTTGGAGAGTGGGGGGCGGTAACCGTCACATCGCCCCCCACCACGAAGTCCTGCACCAGCCACCCATTGCTGCCTGTCCCTGGAGCAGATTTTGAACCAGCAGCAAACTTTTCAAAAAGTCCGCTGTTTACAGGGGGATTTCTGTTTCATTTGCGGGGAATTTTTTCTTAAGTGTCAGTTCAGAAACAAACATGGCTGTGTGGATGACCTGGCAGCTGCAGGTGTGAACAGTGTGGCAAACAGCACCACCAATTTGCCAGGACGGCCACCCAGGCACGGGGCCGGTTTGCCACAGCAGAGACCCGCAACCCCAACATATTAGGGAGATATTGCGAAGGCAGGCCATGTAGACCCAAGGTCAGCTGATCAGTTAAGGTTCAGCAATGTTATATTAAAGTCATGCATGAAACATGTAAGATGAACACCAGACAGAGGAGACCGTTCACACAGGCCACACCGGCTGCTCTGAGTTTTGCTCATGATCTGTGCTTTTTTGAGACAGGTTATATAAAAGAGAGTCTCCTAAAATTTGCCACAGCAGAGACCCGCAACCCCAACTGTGATGTCATTGCAGACTCGCCTCACACGCTCAGTGAGCCCTGGACTGCATGGATCACGGAGCGGATGTTTTAATGGTAAGGAGAAGCTCGGGGTACGTGGTGACCGAGGTGAGCGGATATCACAGGGGCACATGAGCGTGCGCAGAGAGGCACGTACGCGCACACAGGCAGTTAGAAGGCCGGCGGACAGGCAGGAAGATTCATATCAGTCCTGGCAAGCTTTGGGTTATGGGCACAAATAGAGCGGATTACAAGGTGCTCAGTAAACAAACAGCCGCCCGCCTGTCCTCTTGCCCGCCTTAAAACAGGTTTTCATTGTTTGAGCAGTGCCGCGTCTATTGTTTCACCCTCCTGGTGCATCTGTTATAGCAGGATCGTATCAGTCTTCAGCATGCGTCTCATAAAAACATATCGCACATAAGGTCCTGTGTCAACACAGAGCACGTCTGTTTCTCTCAGGATTTCTTTGCTCTGAGGTCACCGGGATCCCAAGGTGAGATATCAGCCACTGAACCGCGATGCAGAAGGAAGCCTGCCTTTCATACACAGGTGGGTAAATAGTAGCGATTATTTAGTCATACGAACAGGCCGAAGAGGATTTTTCTATTTGTGTACTTTTTATATATAATTTGTGTATTAATAACTGAAAGCAATATCAAACAGAAATGTTGAAAATGATCCAGGGTTGTCACTAGGGCTGTTTTAGGGGGATCTTAACCCCCATAAAATGTTTTTCACCCCCCCCCCCCAAATAAGTACTGTAGCCCCGTCATATTTGTATAATTCTGAAGGTAACATTCCGAAAATCCCTACAAATATGAGAATTTGCAAATAATACTTTGACATCACTAACCTCAACCCATAAGAGTCTGCTCACCTGAACAGACATAAAAAGTCTGTTTGTTACCAATTTCTAAACAAACAGTACTGCACTGTACACTTTGCATGCTAAATTGTGTGTTCTCATTCATTTTCATTAAAATCAGACCCCTCCCTAGTAAAAGCTTAACCCCCCTCTAGTGACACTCCTGATCAGAACATAATTTCGATTAGATAAACATATTAGGGAGATATTGCGAAGGCAGGCCATGTAGACCCAAGGTCAGCTGATCAGTTAAGGTTCAGCAATGTTATATTAAAGTCATGCATGAAACATGTAAGATGAACACCAGACAGAGGAGACCGTTCACACAGGCCACACCGGCTGCTCTGAGTTTTGCTCATGATCTGTGCTTTTTTGAGACAGGTTATATAAAAGAGAGTCTCCTAAAATAAAGCCAGTGCTCCACCGAGACACATTCAGATTTAGCCCTGGGCACTGGCCAGGCCCGGCTCTCTGCGTGCTGTTATTGCCATCCTTAAAAATAGAATTAAATCTAGCATAATGCACTTTTACAGGGCTACACCTATTAGAGGCATCCAAACAGCTCTATTCCCAGACAGCTGCACTCCCTTCGTACGGCCAAACAGCCATATTTAGGTATACATACTGCATATATGTATAACACGAAACTTTCATTACGTGTACCTGCTTACCACACCTGAAAGTTATTTGCGTACTTTGCACAGATCTAAAAAAAAAAAAAATGAATAAAAAAGACACCCAGTTTTGCCTATTTTAGTTTAAGTCCAAAATGTCAAACTGCTGCTGCTGTAGTTTCCGGAATAGCCTTAGTTGTAGATTTTATAATTAGCCTGACTTTGATCTGACACGCAAAAGTCATTCTAGGGGTCAGTCTGAAAAGTTCACTATTATTAAACCAATTACTCTTTTAGTGATTTGACTGGCCACTCTCACTGGATCCATTGAGCTGCAAAACAACCTAAATCCACCTAAACTATTGGAGAAATATATGGCCAAACCTGACAAAAAACATATATGTTATGGTGTGAGCAAGGTATTATGGGTATGGGTCTAATTTATGCCTAATACTAATAAGACTGATACGCATCATCATGGATGGATATTTATATATTTGGGTACTAAAAATGTTATCCCTGAGCCTATCCTAAGCAGCAGAGGGCACACAGCTGAGGTACACCCTGGATGGGATGCCAGTTCATTGCTAGGCACATATATAACACACAGCATGGGGTTGATTCCCATGGTAAATTCTAGGCAATCTTCAATCCCCCCATACAAAGAGCATGTGCCATCTGAGACAGAGTTTAATTGGCTGGCTGAGTTCATCGGTCCCTCATAAGTCTGTCGCTGTAACGTAATGGGTTAACTGACACATGCTGTGAGAGACTGAGAGATGCTAACTGGGCATGTGAACTCCACATGCAGACATAGGGGATAGAGAGAGGATTTTAACCAGTGATCCTGGTAACACTGTATAGTCTGACTATACTGACTATACAGTGTTACTCTGTGAGCCTCCATACCACCCATATGATGTCTTATGTAAACAGTGTGGCATTGTCAGCCACAGGAAAAACTCATTACCTAAGCCTTCAAACATGTAATATCTCAGACACAATAATCTGAGATTAAGCTGTGGTCCATTCCCTGGGAAGCATAGTGGTGATAAGATCAGATGCTCTTCTAAACTCTTTTTGTGTAGGATGATCTTGCAAGAGGATCGCTGTTTCACATATGTAAACTTCTACCAAAGCAAATGGCTTTTGAAGGTGGTGTAAGGCGCAGCAGTTTAAGATGCCTTGCTTCTGACCGGAAGGTCATGGGTTCCAGTACCATGGTTGGCAAAGCAACCCTTAAGGCCATTTGCTCCCAGTGCTGTCCAGCCTTGCGTTCTCAGTTGTATGTCACTTTGGATGAAAGGGTCTACTGAAGGGATAAAATGTAAATAGAGTGATCAAGTAATTTTCACTTCATTCAAAATCAAGAATTAGTTTTACAAACTTAATTGAATTTCTTTGACAGGTAAATTAACCGTGTAATTTGAATTTCTACGTTAGTAAGTGTTTACGCTTTGAGTGAGGATGTTAATATCAATTGATTATAAATGACTCGTTTTAGCAAATACAACTGTTGATTGAAGCTTGCCAGCCAAGATAAGTACCGTTTATATTATAGGCGAAGGTGTTTAAATATTACATCATGTACATCCTTCCGGCTTAGGTAGATCTAGACTGTGTTACACTGAAGGCAATTTCCCAGCTGCACCGAGGCATTGACAATGTTTTGCAGACTTGTTGCCTCATCTCAAGTAGGAGTCACATGACAAGGTGTTATGGGGGGGGGTGTAAAATGAACAGGGAGGCTCCTAATAGTGCTGATAAGGAGCCTGTTTGTCATTCAGAATGAGACGCTGTCGCAAAGGAGCATGAATCCTGATCGCAGCGTATCATGGGTATAGAAATAGCACAGCTAGACCAGCCCAAAACCCAGCAATATGAGGACATGTGACTCTTTTCTTTCAGAGCTGCCGGTACAAATCGGTCGATGTATAATCTGGCTTTACGCAAATCAGGTGGGAGAGACAGATGCAGTAACATTGTTTCCATTTGCATGGGCTGGTCTCTCCAGTCTGTCTTTCTAGCCAAAAGCAGGGCTGGAAGATCACTGACCCACAGCGTGTAACAAATACAGGTTGCAGATAATATGCTCGTTGCAGGTGGACATGCGAATTGTGCGTCATTTGATATTATTTATCTGTTCTTTTTTGTTAAATAATTGTTACAAGTCAGTGAATAATCCATCCATCTCCCAACCATTTACCCCAGTTAGGGTGGAGTGGTGGAGCCTATCCTTGCCAACATAGGCCACAAGGCAGGAGTACCCTGCGGGGGTCCTGTCAGTACTAGTCATATATAGAATCACCTAAGCAACTTCTACTGCAGTTGCAGTTGTTCTGATCATGGGCTTATTATGTATACAAAATCAGAGTAAACAGCGGCTTGACATATCCCACGCGGGCCAACATGCCCCAGGCCGGACTCGCAGCTGATTCCAGATCAGGCTTTACAGTTTCTGTGAGCAGGCGGGCGAGTAGAATCGACTTGTGTCAAGCTTCATATTGGGCCTGGGGGGATAACGAGGTTCCCCCATAATGTTTACCACCTGTCAGGAAATTAAAAGACCTACAGTAAAACCTTGGATCACAAGTAACTTGGTTTGCGAGTGTTTTGCAAGATCAGCAATTTTTTTTTTTTTTATAAATTTTAACTTGATAAACGAGCGAGGTCTTGCAATATGAGTATTACGTATACGCTTTGTCTGCCTAACGTCACATGATCACAACTCAGCCGATGGTTCTTTTCACACGTTCCTTGTTAAAGTCGTACTAAAAGAAAAAGATTCCAGTGAGCCAAAAGATAGCAGTGATTCTGTTGATTATAGCGATAGTCATCCTACAAAATGACCCTCCTCTTCTCCTCTCTCGTCTCCCTCACACCATCCACGATTCTTTTCAAAGGTAAAGTGCAGGTTAATTTGTTTTATGCATTTTTACTTGATATTTTGTACTAATCATTTTTATATGAATATTTCTGGGCTGTGGAGCAAATCATCTGATTTTCCATTATATCTAATGGGAAAATTCACTTTGATACACGAGTGCTTTGGATTACAAACACATTTCCGTAACGAATTATGCTCGCAAATCAAGGTACCACTGTATTTCTGTTTAGTGTCTTCATCGACTCAGAGAAACTCCAAGAAGATCATTGTGTAGAGTTGAGGCACCCCGTGGTCCGTTTTACGTTCGAACACCACTTGGCCAGCAGGATTCCCAGAAAACTCCCAGAATAACCAGCCCCCTGCCTCTCTCGCCACGTGTGATACATTAAGTGACAGTGTGAGTGATTATGAATCCCTATGGTGGGGGATAATTAATTGCTATAAGCATTGTAACTGCCATCGGCAGGAGATGGATGAAATGTTAGGACTTCCTCACTGTTTCAAGGTCACGTGATGCTCGTGGCCGTTGACAAAGACCCCCATCTGCAATTAATGGAAGAATCTCAAAAGTTTGGTGTGACAGGCTAAAAGAAGCGCGTCCGGGAATAAATTCTTCCTGTAATACACTTAGTGTTCTCTGCTTAGGCTTCTATGTTATTCAATTAAAATCATGAAGCAGCACAGCTGAATGGACACCCTGGGGTGTTTTTTTCCTCTTTGAGGGTGGTGTGTTAAGTACTTGTTCTGTCACATCACTGGGCCTTATGTGTACAAACACAATACACTCTCTTCCTGCCCCCCCCCCCCTTCTATAATAAGCCCAAAGGGCTTCATTGAGCATTAGAAAGAGAGTGAGAACCCCTGAATCACAGAGGGATGGGGGGCAAACAGCAAAAAGAGAGAGAGAGAGTTATAATGACTTTATAAACAAATGAAGGACAGAGACGAAAAGGAACCTTCACTCCTAGGATATCAAGACATCTTTCTGTGTTCTGTTACGTTACTTCTTCATATTATAAATGTGTTTTTAGCTTGTCCTCTCAAGGAAGCACCTGAGATCACGATCCTCACGTGTGTGTTTGACTCACCTCATAACCGTGTTTCCGTGTCACTCTCATTGTGTTCCTCTCCCTGGATACCAACCACGTTGAACTGTGACGTCAAGCTGTCTATTGTCGCTCAG